TAAAACAGATCTGCTTCCCTGGCTGTGTCTGCATACAGTATACGCTGGTAGTGATAAGTCTATTGGTATATTCATTTTCTACAAAAAAAAACATAGTGGCATCAGTCGACTTATTTTAAGGGATATTCCAGTTCTTACCGCCACACCTATTTGCTCGCCGGGTATTTGCCTCCTGTATTTCTCACTTTCTATTTTACCCCTGTGCTACTTTCCTGTGAAATTTTACCATCACCCAAGGCAATGGACCTTTCCGCTAAGCCCCACCCACTGGATATTGTTGCTAAGGTCCCACAAGACGACAATGTTAAAATATACGCAAACACGTGCGTTTGTGGGACAACACGTGTGTTTGTGAGACGCGCGCGTATTCCTAGCCTTGTTCTGATTAGTCAGTTGATAAGTTTGATTGACACTCCGGAAAGGTCTATTGTCCGCAGAATTTTTCCTGATGCCTTACAACTATCAAGTGTGAATGACAATTATAATGCCTTCAATATTTTACTTGAAATATATTATTATAATAAAAATGATGTGTATATTTATTTTTACTTGGAATATAGAACGCATAGAGATAAAGATAGCGTGAGTCAAGGTGCAAATTGCACGAGGGGGAATACCAAAAGAATAGTGAAGGGAACTCCTGCTCCGATTCTGCTCCCATCCTTCTTGTGTAGATATTATTATAGAATATCTCATTTGTATGTAATTAAAAAAAATAAAAAAAAAGAAGAAAATTATTCTTTAGCGATTAAAGGAAAATAATAAATAATGTCATGTATTTTTATTTTTATGTGGAATAACATACCGATGCACTGGACACCATTTCTAATAAACCCTTTATTGCATTTGCACGTGTAACTTCCCAGAGTGTCTCTACACGTTCCTGATACTCCACAGGGATCTGTTCCATTAACAGAATTGCATTCATTCACGTCTAAAATGAGAGCAAATACAGTGTAATAGATAGTAATACAGAATCAATTGGACCATCAGAATGTCCACCGAAACAATGGACGGACAACTTCAAACAAATGGAGGGCGCTCTTGGTTTAAACAATATAATAATGACACAAAGAAAATTAGTTAGCTCTACACTATTCATGGATTTCTTCAATAGAAGAAAACCATGAATAGACTGTCATCTCCAGTACCAATCCTTGGAGGACTGCATTAAACATAAAAACAACTTAAAACATTGTAATATAAAAGCGGTGAGCAATCTCTTGCTTCACAACCCATCATATCTGGGGTACAGTAATTAGCTGAGAATGCTAATGTGTATGGTTCTAACTCGCAATATCTCTCAACTTACTTGTACATTCTGCGTCATCAGTCTTCCTTGAGTATCCCGTAATGCATCGACAAAGGTAGCTAGCGTCGAGATTCACACACTCTTCCAACTCTTTGCAGATATCCGGGTTTTCTGCGCACTCGTCTATATCTGAGATATTACAACATAGTGATCATGATACATGTATAAGAATCTATAATAATCTGACAACTTACAGTATCAGTTTACATTAAGAGGCAAAAGATCAAATTTGCTGCTCACATTGTGGAACAGCCAACTCAAGGAAAACAAAACAACTATTATTCAGTGATGACAAAAACTGTAAAACATGACACTTGGTAGAAAATATTATCGGAAAAGCAGCTACAAATTCTGGATTATCCAGTACTGACCACTTCACTAGGGAGTCCAAGAGAAGAAACTTCTAATGTTAGAGAATTTCAGTTATCTGCGATAATTCGCCAGAAGATAACCATCACAAATTTGCCATATAAGCAAATATGATGAAAAAACTTACAATCAATATCAATTCATATTCTAAAACTTACCAAAGCAATTGGTACCATCACCGCGGTAACCTGTCGGACAGGCGCATGCGTAACTACCAATGCTGTTGGTGCAATTGGATTTCGGATGACAGTCTAGAGCTCTCTCAATGCACTCATTGATGTCAAAGCAGTGTGTACTGTTACCCTCAAAGCCGTCTTTACAGGTACACATATAGGAACCAACAGTGTTTGTACAGTCAGCATTTTTATCACAGTCACTCGTTTCTTGGCGGCATTCATCAATATCTACAGAGAAATCAGAGAAAATGTGTATTTATGTTTAACTTGACCTTCATCACTTCATCATGCAAAGTTGTGATTACAAAATGGCTTATGGCTATTTCATTTACGTGTATATACGTATTTGTGTATATAT